CGATGGTAAAGCGCGTTAAACGTCTAACGCTATCGCCGCTTAACTTGGGCTGCATTTTGCGAAACTGGAGCAAGCATTTCAGGTTGCTTGTATATTTCATTTCGAACTTTATCGTGCACTTTATGAGCTATCGTGTACAGCTCGTAAAGTTCGTGAAGAAACAGTCTGATCTTCGATCCACGTGGCGTACAGTAGAAATTACGTTATTATATAGATAGCCAAATAATGGAGATTCTCTTTGAGATTTGTCCTTATTTACGAACGGTATTAATACATGGTTTAACTTTCCTACTTACTGACAGACATGAGTCGTATCGTGCGTAAGAAGCTCGAAGCGATCCAAAACAGATTGGCATTTGCGGATGAAAAAAAGGGAGACGATGCAATGGGAACTAGTGCAACGAGTTCGCGGGTCTCAGATAAGATAAGAATAGAAGGAGAAAGTTGCTGGAATTCGTAAATTTCGTTGCGCGAACTCTGTGTGGACGTTGCTCCCTTATCGACTCAGCATACTAATATGCTCGGCCGTGTGTGCCCGCAACACAGGCGCGCGTGCGCGCGCTCGCTCGACGCAACGATGCACAGTACCATACACACGCGAACATTATAATCTTCTATCCGGATGGCGGACGTTACGATCTACCATTGAATCGAACAATGGCGAAACTGGGTTACGCAAATGTCGAGGCTGGAAATTAAAGCGCGAGACAGCGGGGGCCAAGAGAGGAAGGTTCGCACCGGCGTCGAACGGTAAAAAAGATTCGGCTTTCGTCTGAAAAAGTGGCGTACACCACCTGACGCTAAGAATAATACGAATCGCATAGTATTCCATATTTCCAATTTTACCACTTACTAATGGTCAAGCATTTATTATACTTACGATATAATAATTTCTCATTTATCGATAAATGTTCAAACTGAATATACAAAATATTTCCGTGATTCGCATAAGGAAAGTGTTAAACTTTCACAGATAGCGAAAAAAAAATGCACCACGACCGATTTACCGATAAACGGTACACGTCGAGTAAAACAGCCTAGCCATTATCGGGTCACGTTTTACTTTCATCGCGACAATTAAACGGTAACGATACGTACGCCTAAGGTACTAAACACCGCTACATGCGAAAGTGAAACGTTACGTCATACGTTGTCGCGAGTTGTCGAATTTCCACGTGCTAACATGAATGAAAAATTACTTGTCATTGGAAGATCGTACGATCCTCGAAAATAACGGAGCTGTTTGATATCTATCGTAAAGGGAACAAGTCGTGACAGTTCGGATTAAGGCGAGGCAGCTCTGAAACCGTGCAAACCAGCCTGCACGGATTGAGCAACGCGCGGAGAACTCGTTACGAGACCTGTAATGCTGTCCAAACGTTTCCGCTCCATTTTTTGTGGGCCCAATTACGTTTCGCCAGCCTCAATAGGCCGTGTTTCGCGGTCTCATCGGGCCTCTACCGTATACATGTGCCTTCCACACACGGGCTTCGAAAACCATTCGTTCGGAACACCACGGAACTTTGCGGGGAGGCTATACAATCCCATATTACCGCAAAATATCACGAACAAGAGAAGAAATTCCATCGAACGCGTCACTATCCTTTATGACCTTCTGACGAGAACACGATGCCCACTTAATGTTCGTTCGATAACTTTCAACCGGTAATGGGAGAACTAGGAGAATCGAGCGAGTAACTTTCAACGAGTAGTAGAAAACGCAACTAACAGCTTAACCCGCGAAATGAAAATAGAAAATCTTTTGAAGTTCTTCAAAATATTATAGTTTATAGTTGCTAATAACCAAACTGTTGATGCGACTTAAATCACTATTTAAAAAAAAAGAACTTCACTGAGTGTACAAAGATGAATAAATTACTCCGTGAATTAAATAGTGGCTGATTTAGATTTTATATGTATCGTTGTGCTATGTATTATACAGATAGATTTTTCAACGAATAGTTTACGATATCGCTGTTTATTTAAACAGACTGAAAAACTTAGGGTCCATACGAGATATGGAGGATTCAGAATGGAGGAGTCAAAGGATTAAGAAAATATCGCGTTGACTGAAATTTTACCTCCGTAGGTAACTTGGATAGTTTTTACCCAAGTCTAACTTTTTTACTGTT